AGTGATCATTCAAGTGCTGAGTGCTGCTTTACACAGCTACCCTGCTGTTAAAGTGGTATTTTGCAAAATAATTGTAAGAACTTGATAGGAATGGATGCTACTCTGAAAAATCAGTGAGAATGCCAGCAAAAGACCAAGTTTATGCTGTCTGTATGTTTGAAGTAGGTGTTTATTTGCAAGAGAATTGGCTGACAATTAGTCATAAAAAGATTCTATTTGGGGGGAAAGCTAGCAAAAGTTAGTCTTCTAATCTGAATCACTCTCTGGAGGATCCTTTCCCTGAACTGACTATAATGGAAGCTGGGGGAAATTAGTCTTAAATTGTCCATGACTTGAGTTAAGCCTTTCTGAATATCTCTCTGTGAGATATACCAAAGTAATATGTGTAAATGCCTACTTATATTCTTTAAAGTGACTACTCCTTCACATCACACTTAAAGTAATACATAGGCAAAACGGATGTAAATATAAATCAGTTCTGAAGTACACAGAGTTCTAACATTCTCTTTGTCAGCCACAAGATCTGAAGAGGAATCAAAGTGTGGGTGACCTGCTTCCCTGAGGTAACTTGAATGACAATAGATAGCTGTTTGGAAAAAGGGAATTCAAGGCCAGATTTTCATTTCATTGCATTACATCTTTCATGCCATGCTCCTAGTCTATCTTCCTTTTATCCATCTCCTGTGTTTGTGATTTAATAGCAAGATGGATTGGACAATCTGGGGGCCTGAGAAGGTGCAGTAGAATCTTATGTGTGTATATATACACAAATACTCATTTTTACACTCGTTTTTTACAATCATATACAAACTCCCTCAAGAAGGGAGTGTTCTGCCATTCCAGAGGTATTGTAGGGTGCATCCCAGCCATTTACATGGTGGGGTGTAATCTGATGCAATACTTCTGAGATGTGTCCTTTAGGAATTTACTTGCTTTAATTACCTTTATTTTGAAGGTGAGATGCTTTACCCTTTTATGTCAGTGGCAGAGGCCACTCGTTATGTATCTGGTAGAGGCTAGTATTCTGTGGCAACTAGGCTGAGTCAACTGAACTGCCTTTTAGACTCTCTGAGGTCTAATGTTATTGACTTTCTAATTTAATAAAAATCTCCACAGAATTTACATTTCCTGACTCTTAATTGACTTCCACTCAAAATCACATTTCCAAGCAGCCATATATCCTAGCAAACCATAGAACCATACAGAATCATAGAATGGTTTGGGTTGAAAGGGACCTTGAAGGTTATCTAGTTCCAGCCTCTCAACTATGTTTCTTTTAGCAATGATATCACAGTGCAGATATATCTTTCCTTGCAGCCTGACTCTACCTTCTATTCTTGTCCATGTGTCAAAACATCTTCAGTACTGCAGTGAAATCCTGAGAATTCAGTGCAAAATAATCAATAAACACATTCCATAAAACAAATATTTTGGTTTCTTATAGCTATATTGCCGCAACTATAGAAATTCATGGCAAAGCAGGATTTTATTGCTTAGTTATGACTCAAAAATCACTTTTGCCCCATCAGATTCCAGTTGGCTACATTAGTTTTTACTTTAGGCTGTTGGTACAAATCACCACTTTCTCTGAAGGTCAGAGGTACTATTTCAGGAGGGTGAATTTGTATTCTTTTGTGACTGATTGTCATAGATAATAGAAAATGGCAACTGGTTTTGTTCTCAGTGAGATATGTCTGTAAGTGATTATTAAGAAAGCCTATAACTTTGTATGGCTGATTGTCTCTTCTTTTAAAGCTATAAATAAAAACTGAGAGCAATTAGGGCTAAAGGACAATCTGGATGTAATTTATGTTCAATGCCTAACACAGCAGGACTCTAATTCAAATGGTGTTATATGCCATGATATGATATTTCCACAGTTCTGTGATTCCCAGATTTAAGCCTGAAAAAGCTCAAATGCTATAAAAATTTATTTTGAAAAATCCAACAAAGTGGATTTCTGGAAATGTTTGAATTACATTAGTCTATTCAATTGCAATATATGGCACAAGTCCCTACATGCAAGGCTTTCCCAAAGCTCTGGCAAACATGTTTTTGACACATCTTCATCCCAAGCAAAATCCTACCTACTATAAGGCTGGCCCAGCTATGAAATATATCATAAATACAAGGTCTAAGGGACAAAAGTAATGTATTCAGAAGTTAATTCTTTTGGAAAAAAAAAGCTTTTAGAATGGCAAGAAAAGTCAAATATAAAGCTGTAGAACACCCTCCAGCAACAGTGGAAACACTAACAAGGATTATTTATCATAAATAAAAGACATTAAAAATGACATGGCAAAGCACAATAGCCCCTAGCTGTGCAGGGACTGGGCTACCCAATTTTGCAATTCATATTGGAGACAAATGGCATCTTTTAAAACTCATGACATGTTAAATGCTCAGTTCTGAACTACAAAATGTCTGAAGTTTTTTAATTAGAAATGCATCTCTGTCAATTAGATGCAGCATATAGTATTTACACTTTCTAGTACTACAAGTGGGGAAAAATACCTGCAAAAAATAAGATTGTCTATGTGAAAATTAAACCAACTTATAACCTGTGTATATGTGCAGCCTGCAATTTATCTTCAGCTTAAAAGGTAGAATTTAAAAGAAAAAAAACGCAAAACAACCCAAAACCTTTCAGCTATTATTTCGTGCTTAACTACTCTGCAATCACTTTCTTTATTCACTCAGCATTCAGATTACTTAATACTCTTCATAGCTTGTTTAGGTAATTTTTATATAATCATATCAAACAAATAATAACATTTCAAGGTTGGTTGATCTGTTATTTTGGTCCAGTAGTGAAAGTGTACATTTAGATCTTTCTTCATTCTCTCACTTTCTCACCAGAAAGGCAAAACACTTTCAATAAGTCATTTGGGACTGCCGAAACCTGTGTTTGTTGTGACTAATTTCTGCAAGCACAGAAGCAGGTAATTTAGCTCAGCTGCCTCAGAAAGCTTCAGGTGTTCCAACATACAGGATGAGGTATATCCCTAATGTCCCTTTTTTTTCCCATCAGATCTGTCTCCACTTACTGCTCTGATTCCTCCTCCTCAGTTCTGCCATGTGTGTACTCCATGATGCTGTGTTACAGTCAAGGATGGCTGTCCAGTAACAACACCATGGAGTAGCTGCAGCCATCATCATAAAATACCCCAAAAAACCAAACAAAACAATCTAAAAATTACTTAGAACTTTTCCTGATGACTAGCACCGATGTCATTCTGCTTATCCAGAGAAGGGCAAGAGAGCTGCTGAAGGGTCTGGAGCACAAGTCTGAAGAGAGGCTGAGGGATCTGGGGGTGTTTAGTCTGGAGAAAAGGACACTCAGGGGCCTTCTCACACTCTACAAGTACTTGAAAGTAGGTTGCAGCAAGGTGGGCATTGATCATCCAAGTAACAAGCAACAGGACAGGAGGAAGTCCCAGGTTGTGCCAGAGGAGGTTTAGATTGGATATGAAGAAAATTTCTTCCTCAAAAGGGTTTATATATCCTTGGCCAGATTTCCACTTTCTTCAGATCTGCTAACTAAGTACTCTGACAGTTGCAGTGCCTCTCCAATTTTATTCCAGAAAGGGATAGAGGAAAAAACCCCACATACTTTTCTTCCTGACTACTGAGTGGATGGAGATGCTGCTCAGATCTGCCAATGGTGATGATCTGAGGCAGGGCTGGTATGCTGTCTCTAATTTATTTTGGCCATCTGCTTTTCCTGCTTCTAATTGGTGCACATTAAGAGAGAAAATATTCTTAAAGAGCATTTAAGATGAGGATGCTCCTGGACTCACTAAAAGCAGATTGAAATATAATATTTGCTTCTCATTGGGCAGATCAGTCTGTATCTCAGCAACCACTTCATATTTGGCATGACTATTCCTTTTGCATAAAGTGATTACATGTACTAAGGTTGTTATTGATATGAAAGATGCATTAGTAAAAGTGAGAAAAGATCCTTTTTAGTGGGTTCTGCACACTTGTAAAATATTTATGTTGTAGCCTGCATATACTGCAGTTTCTTGGTAAACATTGAGCTTTATGTGTCTTACTAATGCTCAGGAGATGAAAAGTGTATTCAAATAGGGGCCCTATTTGAACAGAGATTTGTGCGCTCTGCTCCTTCACTATGAAACAACAGCTTTAAGGTTTGTCCACTGGCTTCTCTCATCATCTCAGGGGAGGCCTTGGGAAAGGCGCACGAAGTTTAATCTGCAGTATTTTCTCACCCTAACACCATGGGTTTTTTCACAGTGAGTTAATTTTATTAAAGCCTGAACTCTCATCTGAGAAAATTTCACAACTATGAAGAAGTCTGCCTTCTGAGAGGAGTGGGAGACAGCTAAACATTGTCAAAATAAAAATAGACAATGTGATTCTTGTTTCCCTTGCACTTTTTGGGTGGGTTTCGTATTTTCTATGTTAACCAGCTGGTAGTGCAGGCTGAACTGACCATCTAAACAATACTGTGTGAAGAGACGAACATCCACACAGAGGATGTTTGCTCTCAGAGGTACTTCTCTTTCTCTACCAGCTTCAGACAAGAGTCTAATAACTAGACTTAGACTAAGCTTCAAGGAGGTAAAGCAAAGCAACACAAATTATACTTTCAAACAATTTTTTCTCTAGCAAGACTGACATTAGATTTTCAAGTAGCACCAGAAAAACCTCTTCATTCAAGTAGATTAACCCAATTTTGTTTTTTATTCATTTTGCATCTTGAATATGCTTTTTTATAGCATAGATTAATAAGCCTTCTTTGATGAAGTAAAACCTACCCACCCGCCACTATTTTGCTATATGGTTTTCAAATGTCATTTTTCCTAATTGTAATCTTAGTTAAAATGCCTTGTAACAATAGCTACACTCTCCCAGTAGATATGATATGAAATTTCAGAAGCATACAGAATTTCTCACTGACAGCATACTTGTACTTGCATTTCTTATTTACAATATTCCTCAAAGAATTATGGTTTTTCTTTATCATTTTACAGGACAGTGGTAATAATATATGGATTCTGTTGGAGATAGAGTGTCGTACAAGTATTGGATGAAATATTTACCTAGCAAACAGACTTGCTGGTAAGTCATTGTGTTCTTTCTTCTCTTTTGCTACTTTTCAGGCACAACAATGTGAAGGAAGGTTTATAATTCAATTGGATGTTTACTAAAAAAATTAAATCAAAAAAGAAAAGAAAAACAAACCAAACAGTATATTTTAAATATTTGCAGTTCTCTTTCCCAAATAACTTCAGTACTAATATATCCTATTTCCTCCCTCCCCTAGAAAAACACTTTCAGTTGCCACTTTGTACTATCGTGTACCTGAAGCTTTGTAGGTTGTTTTAACTACAGGTACTCCCTCATCAGAAATGTCCAAAGTTCAGTTGCACAGGCTAATGCAAGAGTCATAAAACTTCTTGCTATTTTTTAATCATTTTTTTTCACTGCTGGGTTGGGGTTTTTTATTTTTTGAATTGGTCTTGTTTTATTTGCTGTAGATATTGTGCTTTTGGTTTGATTTTGATGCTAAAGAGTGTTTATGGGTCTAGAAACATCAGTGTGGCTTTTATTTTTAGCTGATTAATATACATGAGCTACTAAAGAAAATCACACATTTAAAAGATTAATTTGAAGATCACTGGTCAAAATCACCCAAGGTATAGTCCTATTGGTACCTCTGGTTTATTGTATGATGTTGAGTGGGTAATTTCTGAAGAGCAGGAACTGTGTATCTGTAAGGAGATACACTAATGCATGTACAGTAGTGTATGAACTGGATTATTTTTCTTTACATTATTGGAGAGATCACAAGGTAAGAATGTTAAGAATGACTAAACTCCACTAGGCCTAATAAAACTTATTTCTTCTTAAAATATTACCAAAAATGAATAATATAAAATATATTTTTTGTTCTAAATGGAGTTGCTTTAACTCTTGCACTGTCAATATTTTTTGCAATGCCCATTACTACTTCCATCCATTTGGTATAAGATCTGCACTTGAAATGCTGTTAGTGCTGGGATTTTGTAGCAAAAATGCGGAAAAGAGACCAAAGGTGAAATCACCATGTTTGAATTGCTAGGCTGCTGTATAAAGATACATGTTCTAGAGACTGATGAAATAAAAAGGACATTTTATTCGTTGTGAGCCATCGTGACTGAAATACTTGACACTTTGAAATGTCTTGAGTTGGTCTCCTCTGTTAAGTCTTTACCAGGAAGAAAATAACTGGGAACAGTATTGTGTTGTATTTTCACAGATTACCTGGATATGTACCAGGGGGAGGGGATCAAAATCTGTCCATGGCAAAAGGGGGATTATTTCTTCAGATTGTGTTCAAAACTCATCTGGACAATTTCCAAAGCAACCTCATCCAGTTAGACTTGCTTTTGAAGTAACGATGAATTAGACATCCAGAGGTCCCTTCCAACCTAACTAATTCTAACTTATTCTGGGGTTCTGTGTAGTTGGGTGAGATGTTGTGATGATTAGAAAACTGTTTTATGATATACACACACCAAGGTACTTTACTTAATCTTCAAGAGAAATTACACAATTTTGTATTCAATGGATGAGAGCACCAGGATTCTAAAAGATGCTGAGGGAAGTTGGGGAGCCAGAAAAGAGGAAGTGGGATTTCTTTAAGGAGGTGAGGATCCAGCTGTGAGAGATAATTAGGTACCTAATACCATAGATGTGCACATAATTTGTCCCGTGGTTTTAAGATTTTATTTTAAATGCTTTTGTTTTAGAGTATGATTTGCTCTCAGAAGTCTGTATGATCACTGGCTGCTTTGATCACTGGAGGGCACAGAGTTTTACATGCTGAGCAAAACCTAAGCTCACCTGGGGAATCAGGACTGATTTTACAGAGGGAACTCTGTCCAGTCTCCCTAGCAGAGGGCCATGAAACACTACAGGGGGATATGAGTGAAGAATACTACGTTTCTGTAAAAAGGAAAAATGTCATTTTTCAGCGTGGATAAAAGTACAGCCTGCAATATAAACCACCTGCTATGCTCTGTTTGGTATTGATACAACCTTAGGAATATCCATGATGGGATACTTAAAAAAAAGCTATGGATCAGCTGGACATAGACCTCTGAGGAAAAAACAAGGATGAGTATGAAAGGTTCATGAGCAGGAAGGAAAAGAAAGGTGGAATTGCTTGAGCTGATTTACAGTGATGAGCTTAAAATAAATTATAGGCTTTTCAAAAAAGAAATAAATTCTTTATTCTCTCCATTAAATTCATTCTGGAGAGAGAAAAATGTTAGGAAATTAAACTGAACTCAATTCAGGACAGGTAGTAGCAGACAGCTTAGACAGATTGGGAAAATATAGTGATGGAATACACTGCTTCGAGGGTTTTCAGAATAGGCTGGAGAATCTTCAGTCAGATATAGCTGATCCTGGTTGAGATATAGGATTAAGTCCATCTCCTGTGGTCTTTCCCAGCCCTGCTTGTCTCTAGTACACTGCCCCTGAATCCAGAGCAAAAATTAACAGATTCTCTTACTCAAGGAAACAGTTGTGTGGAAATGGTGGAAGGGGAAGAGAGGTTGTGGATAAATTCACCTCCCTCCTGTACATTAAAGTGGTCAATAAATGCAACATTCATCTGGTGAAATCTGTACTATCTCGGGAGTAAAGAGCACTAACCTGGGCTTGGTAGAAGCTGAATCCCTGACAGGAGACTCTCATTTACAATCATTTCAAACTGCACTCTCAATGTGTTGGAAAGCATAAAGACAATATTTGTTTGCCCTCTTTGCTTTAAAAGGGTGTGGCTTAGATATTGTATCTGAAACCAACAGCCCTTATATTCCCTACATGTTCATATCACATTGACATGTATGATTAAAGTCATAGATTAATGCTTTTAGCACAAACCAATGTCATATTAGGATTCTGAAGGCTTTTAAGCACACTAGAAAACAGCTGTGATGGACATACACAGCAACTGTACCACATGCATGGGCAGAGTATTCTTTTGGAGGCACAAGAAATAAACACTGTGCTTGGAAATGAAATTATTATGAGCACAATTGGTAATTACAAGAAGTAACAACTCTATTTCCAAACACTAGGAATCATAATCCTTTTAGCAAATAATCATGCTGTTTATATGCCTTACAATTAGGTGCATGAATTGGGAGATGAGACACTTCTCTGTATATCTCAACTGTGTAGAAATATAAGTAGTTATAACAGTTATTTTCTGTATATCTAGTAGAATCTGAACTCTTTTGAAGAGGGCTTTTTAGAACTGAGCTCCAGCTTTTCATATCTTGTGCTCTTTATCTGCACTTCACCAGCTTGAATAATATCAATTAGAGCTGCTGCTATACTGTCACCTTTTAATTTTCTGCTTCTCATGCCTTAACAAACTCATAAATTTGGGTGTTCACTGTTCTGCTGGATTTTTTTAATAAGAAAAAATCAATTTAAAATAAAAACAAGTGTTCTTTTTGTCTGGCCTTAATACCCTTGATACTCATCCAGCACAGGTGCTCTACTATGTAATTATTTGGAAACAGCTTGAAATAAAACATAGAAATAGGACTGGCAACCTCAAAAATATCACCATTGCATTCGGTAAAGGCAGTTGTAAGGTTACACATATATCATCTTATCATCTTCCAATCTTTTGCTCTCTGATGACTACAACAGTTAGCAGTAGTACAGCAAAAGACAATAAAATGGCTAATATCCACTCAAAAACCTTTTCATTAGATACAAACTATTGTAGAGTCAAGTTCAAAGTAGAGATACATGCTGCAGAAATCATAGGCAGCCACACCCCAAAAAAATACAGGACTGAATCCATTGATCAAAAATGTTTTCAGAATTTCCATTTCCTTATGAGTTAAATACCAATAAATATTGAAAGGAGAGACTCTCAACTGCAAATGGAGAATTTACAATATATAGTTAAATACAAGCCACAGCAGAGTCTGGGAGCTTTCTCCAATACTGTAATACTGCAAGGTGGTTCCTATTTTATAGGAGACCTCAGGTCAAGGAAAAGCAATTAATCCTGCTTTTGATGGAGAAAAAAATTGTATTTTATCCCTGGAAATGTTAAAAAATGCAATTATAATTTAAAAATATTAGATTCAGGATCATAGCTGGTTTTCTGACATATATGGCAATTTCTGTCTGGCAATGGACAGTCTCTCTAGTCTCAAATCACCCATAGAAATCAATTTTTATGTGAAAATTTGTTTGGAATTCGATTCCTCACAGCTTTCTCAGCACTACTGCATTTGTTTAGATCTTGTGAAGTCCCAATGTAAGTTACTGCATCCAGTTCTGGAATTCCCAGCACAGGAAGGATGTTGACCTGTCGGAGCACGTCCAGAGGAGAGTCACCAAGATTATTAGAAGAAAGGTTGAGAGAATCTGGATTGTTCAGCGTGAAAAATAAGAGACTCAGGGTTGACTTGATTCTGGCCTTTTGGTTCCCAAAGGGAGCCTATGAGAAAGATGGAAAGGGACTTTTTGCAAGAGCATGTGGGACAAGAAGGAATGGATTCAAACTGAAAGATGGGAGGTTTAAGTTAGATATTGGGAAGAAATTCTTCCCTGTGAGGGTGGTGAGGCACTGGCACAGGTTGCCCAGAAAAGTTGTGGGTGCCCCATCCCTGGAAGTGTTCAAGACCAGGCTGGATGGAGCTCTGAGCAGCCTGGTCAAGCATAAGGTGTCCCTTTCTATTGCCGGGGAGCTGTAACAAGATGATTTTTAAAGATCCCTTCCAACACAGGCCATTTAATGATTCTATGATTCTAAATTATGTTCAGGTAGATAAAGTGTGCTGACAGAAACAATGCTGGCATCCAAAACTGAGCAGTAAGATGGTCCAGTAATAGTTTAGTCTTTTTTCCAAAGACATGTTTCTTGTACCTTCTGCCTTCATGCTTAATTGCAAAAATACAGATCATGAATGGCTTTTAATTCAACATGTAGAAAATTGGGCTTTTGTATATTTTAATGGAATTTTTTTTGGCCAAGTAATAGTTAAGCTAACTGTGCCTGGATGTGTGTTATTTATCAAAAAATTCTGAAGTTTTGTTGA